TGGGAAGAGCGCAATGATGGTGCCAACTTGGGCCAGTGAAGCGACATCCTCCACAACTAGACTGAAGAACAAAACGACAGCAACTTGTCTGTTCTCCTTCCCCTGATTCCCCAGCGCTGTTCCCATCCCCACAATTCCCCAATAAAAATCTTAAAAAAAAAAAAAAAAGAAAAAGCTGAACTGGGCCCTCATTTTTTCCAAGTAACGTTGGCTTTCTAATATTGCCTTCTGAGATAATGTCCCTGAGCAAATGTGTGTTTTTTAAAAAATGATAAATTTCAAACAGGCAATATTAAAAGTAATATTGTACCTGTACATAGTACCAACTTTACCAAATCTCAATATTTTCATCATATTAGCATCAGATTTTCCAAAACGAAATACAATGTTATTGATAGCACTGAAGCCCTTGTGTGTCCCTCCCTAATTTCACTCAAGTGCCTCTTCCAGAGGAAAACACCCTCTTGAATTCAGGGTTGAATGGAACTACATCACAATAAAAAGCTTCTGCACATTAAAAGAAACCATCAATAAAACAAAAAGACAACCAACTGAATGGGAGAAGATATTTGCAAATGACACATACGATAAGGGGCTGATATCCAAAATATATAAAAAGCTCATACAACTCAACAAACAAACAAACAATCCGACTGAAAAATGGGCAGAGGACCTGAATAGACACTTTTCCAAGGAAAACATACAGATGGTCAACAGACACATGAAAAGATGCTCAACTTCACTCATCATCATAGAAATGCAAATCAAAACCACAATGAGATACCACCTCACTCCTGTCAGAATGGCTATTATCAAGTGTTGGAGAGGGTGTGGAGATGATAGACCCCTCATACACTGCAGTGGGAATGCAGATTGGTGCAGCCACTATGGAAAATAGTATGGAGGTTCCTCAAAAAATTAAGAATAGAATTACCATATGATCCTGCAATCCCTCTCCTGAGTATATACCCCCCAAATTTGAAAACACTTATTTGTAAAGATATATATGTACCCCTATGTTCATTGCAGCATTATTCACGGTGGCCAAGACCCGGAAACAACTTAAGTGTTATTTGATGGATGAATGGATAAAGAAGATGTGGTACGTCTATACAATGGAATATTACTCAGCCATGAAAAGATGAAGTATTGCCATTTGCAACAACGTGGATGGATCTTGAAAGTGTTATGCTAAGTGAAATAAGTCAGACAGAAAATGACAAGAACGATATGATTTCATTCACATGTGGGCTATAAAACAAAAAGGAACAAATGAAAAAACAAAACAAACAAACAAAACCCTCATAGACACAGACAACAGAATGGTGGTTACTAGAGGGGAAGACAGTGGGGGAAAGGGTAAAGAGGATAAAGGGGGTCAAATATAAGGTGATGGAAGGAGGCTAGGCTTCGGGTGGTGAGCACACAATAGAGTATACAGATGTTGTATTATCAAGCTGTATACCTGAAATTTATGTTATTAACCAATGTTACTAAATTTAATAAAAATCAAACAAACAAGAAGAACCAAAACACCAAATAAATACATATATATATATATATATATATATATATATGTATATACACATATTTGTGTGTGTGTGTATATATATATATATATATATAAACCTTACATGACAAAAGGGACTTTGCAGGTGTTATTAAATTAAGGATCTTGAGATGGAAAGATTATCCGGGATATCTAGGCGATCCCAATGTAATTATAAGTGTCCTTATAAGAGAACCAGGAGAGTCTGCCAGAGAAAGAGATCTGAGGATGGATACGAAGGTCAGAGTGATGTGAGGAAGAAACCATGAGCCAGGGACTGTGGGTGACATCTAAAAGCCAGAAAAGGCAAGACATGGATACTGCCCTAGAGCCTCCAGAAAAGACACAGTGCTGCCGAAATCTTGGCTTTAGCCCAGGGAAGCTAATTTTGGACTTCTGACCCCTAGAAGGTAAGATAATATATCTGTGTTGTTCTAAGCCACTAAGTTTGTGGTAATCTGTTACAGCAGTAATAAGAAACTAATATGAGTATTGAGAGCTGATTCCTGCACGTGATCTTGTAAAAGCAACAAATTACCCGCCATATGCATATTAATAATGAATTGCAGGTGCATTTCAGGCAGTCATGTGTCTGAGAACCTGGAAGATGCCAGGTATTAAGAAATGTACACGTGTGATGCATGATGATGGAAGAGAAACTATATCCTGGAAGAACTCTAGGCTGACACTCAGTGCTCTTCTAAGTTGTACAATTTGCATGTGGAGAAAAGTAGCTTCTCTGAGTCAGTCCTTGGCCAGGGAATAAGTCATATTAATTTGTTAATTTGCTATAACAGCTTCAACAACTATTTGATTTGATTTGAACTTTTTTGATCACTATCACAATGTACATGTATAAATATTTTTCAATCTATATAAAGTAAGACAAACATTGTACATTAGAAGTACCTTTAAAATTTTGTAGAGAACAGAACAGCACATATATTAGCTATTGTAATCTGTATTACTTAATATTTGATCATTTGATTTAATTATACATATTTTATTAAAGTACAGTTATGAATGTTAAGAAAAGAAATTCATGAATTTATTGCATCTTGAATGAATGTTCCTATTTCTAAAATATTTACAAAATTGTCCTTTGAGGGTGGCAGAGAAATAGGTAAAATAAAATGGATCATAAGTTTTTCAATATAAATGGAACTAATCTAAAAATAGAATAAAGTGATGGATTCTAAAGTGATCAACAGTTTCTGAATGAATTTTGAATAAATAAGAAAGTATCATAAGGAGTATATAATATAAATTTGTGAATTGCTTTTGACTATAGTTTACTGTAAAACCATAGGATATTTAAATATACAAACATTAGAAAAGAAGTACTATTAATATATCCACAAAGGGATAGAATGATAGAATGAACCTAGGAGTTTGCCACCATGAAATTATACATGTCTAAATTCCCTCAGGGGCATGGGAAAGCACTTCGTAATTTATATATATGTCTGATTCATTTAAATATTTAATACTGTATTAATTGCTAGGGTAGAGCAATAAATGTGAAATGAACTATTCCTCTATGGAACCCACCTTCTCATAGAGAAGAGAGATGGAGAACATGGCTATAATGGACCAGAGCTTCATGCTGCCTCCTGGAGTTGGGAAATGGAGCAGCCAGCCCTTGTGTTACAGGTGTGCATCGGAGACATGACAATACAAAGAAAAGGGTGGAGGAAAAAATGGCCAACCAAGGGGCTTTGAACTACATTTTCAAGACTTAATAGGAGATTATAGAAAATATAGAAAATGGGGGTATTCAATATTTCCTAAGCTATGGCAGTGCACGGAAGTCTATTTTCTCCAGGTACAGAATATGACATCTTCTGCCCTAGGAATCGTACCTTCCCTTCTTTGATCTTGGTTCCAATAATTTGCCGTCTTTGCTGAATGATCTCAATGAGGAGATCACACTCCTCCATCAATTTGGCTTCTTGACGTGATGCATTGACCTACAGGATAGATAAAATGGTAAGCATTAATTTGGCCTTTGTTTTCAGTTAAATGCTCTTTTTAATGTAGACTAGTATGTTTCTGATTAACATTTTAAATGTTAACTCTTCTTCCAATTACGCAGGGATGGAAGTATGGAACTTACATGTCTACTCCCTATCTTGCATTCCTGGAAACCATTATTATCCAATGATAGCAGTCCTTCTGCTAAGCCAGAATCCTTTTTAACACAACATGTACATAGCTATTACAAATTAGTTGGAATTAGTTGACACTTGAAATGTATTTGGAATTCCTGCTTTTACATTTTGAGAGAAAGTTCAATTTTGGCCTATTAAACATAAAAAAATAAGTTTTAAAAAAACAAATATTATTCATTTGTAGAGGACAGATTACTATCAATGTCTTTTGGACAAATTTTACAAAAGCTAGGTAGCAAGGTTATATCACGTTTATTTAACTTTTCTTAATACAGACACCAACTTTGTGTTTAATCAGTATAAAAATCAAAAAAGAAAAGGAAAGTTAAGTATTTTATTAATCGTATGACATAATTTTAAATTTTACTTCTGATATACTTCTGAAAGACCAATGTTTTACAATGAAAGCACACCATTCTCCTAGAAAGGTAGATCATGATAGAATGGTTTCTATTTGAAGTTTTTAAGGCTCATTGTATGCAAGGGAGGGTTGGAATTAGCTCATTCTTGGCAACCGGGCTTGGGAAATACTCCGCACATACCATTTCCTCCACTTCATGACAATTCCAAAATGCTTATTCACAAACAGAGACCCAGAAATCACAGGTGTGGGAAATGGAGATAGCATGCAAGAGTTTGATGATTTTAACACAGCACAGGAGAAGCTGCAGCATTACAGGGAAGGACAGTAGCATTGATTACTCTAGCACATCTCAGGGAGGAGACATGGCCCAGTCGTTAAGCCCTTTTGATTTGGGATAGTTTATTTAACTGGACTTAATTTCGTTCTCTTTTAATGAGATACACTGGAAGTAGGGTCAGGAGTTCAGGATAAAAATCTATTGATGGCTTTTCAGAGAAATCAGGTCCTGTTTCCAGAGGCTAGAATTCCTTGAGTTTTATTCCTAATCATAAGACACAGCAGAGAGACTACTCAAGGGATCTTCTTATTGAGAAGATGATGGTTATAGTGGCCCATTTGCAGCAAACCACGAGGTCATGCCCTATGCCAGATTAGCACACAGACGTATTTGCCAAATGTTTCATGAACAAAAGAAAACATTACAAATGCACTGATGAACAAGTACAGAATGTGGAACTCAGCTAATATTTCGAGGAAGTTAATCACCGGGCTCAATTTCCCTGACTATTATTACATTTATGTCATCATTTCTAGTTCCCCTTGGGGCTTCCCAAATCAATTTCACTATCTATGGAAACATTTACCTGAAATTCCACTACTCTCAAGAAATTTCTTATCTTTCCTTTTGACCTCAAACTGAATTTAATAACTGACTTCAACCGAGCTACAAAAAGGATGGGCTCATATTGAAATCATGGGCACGTTATGATGGAGAAAGTGACATTTCTGGAAAGCAGCGCCCTCCCCTTGGAAGTTACCGTATTTGCCGGCGTATAAGACGATTTTTTGGCCCTGAAAAATATGCCTCCAAGTGGGGGGTCGTCTTATACGCCAGGTACACTTCAG